TGGGTAACACAAAGGACAGACTGCTTTAATCTTCAGCAGCAGCATAGCGGTGTCCAGGCTTGTCAGAAGCTGCAGGAGGAGTGATGGCCGTGCTGCTGACAGCCTTCTAATTGGGTAGTAGAAAGCAGCTCTAAAGGATGTGTTTGTGCCAACAAGTGTGGCTTGACATCAAGAGAGCTCTGCCGAGGAGCCGAGGGGGGAGCGCTGGATGCGGGGCTGGGGTCTCACAGCCAGCAGAGCCGAGCTGGGCTGTGCTGCTGGAAAGCTCCAGCAGGGAACACATTGCTGGTGTGCAATCAGGAAAGGTTGGCCTGGCTGCTCTGCCAAAATGAGCTGTCTGTGTCTTTGAGCTCCAGAGAATCATAGAATGGTTCGGGTTGGGAGGGACATTTAAGATCATCTTGTTCTGCCCCCTGACACACCACAGAAGATGGGAGAGCCATGAGCACTGGAAACCATTTGCCCACCATAGGTTTGTCCACTGATCCTGATTCTCTCGCTCCATACCCCAGAGGTCCCAGTGCTGCCTGCTGCACTGCTGGGATCCAGCAGCCAGGACCTCCTGTGCCAGCCCCTGCTCCTCCAAATCCTCTGCAAAGCAGCAGCAGAGCTGACAGAAGCTGAAAAACACAGGCAGCTGTGCAACACTGCCTTCACTTAAATATTAATAGGGGATGCTGAATAATTCCACCTTTAGCCGTGGCTGGAAGGCTGGCTGATAGGGAGTGTGTGATAGGAGCTGCTGCACCTACCTGTCACTGTGCTTAGGTGACTACAGCTCAGTCAAAGGGGAATTGAAACCACAAGTTAATCTGAGAGTGCTCAGCCCCTGTGGTTTTGGAATTAAATGCCTGCTCTAAATATAAATAAAAGCTGATGGACTCGCTGCAGAGAGAGCTGTAGCCCAGGCAGGGTGGGAGGCACCTGGCCTCAGCTGCAGGTTCTGGCTGGGGCAGAAAATGCAGGGAAGCATTTCCAGGCCTTCCTTGTTGTTCCTGATGACCAGGAAGAGAAGCTGAAACTTCTGGGTGGTGACATCAGTGAAAAGGGGCTTAGAAAGCAAAAAGGAGAGCTCCAGGGAAGGGTGCCCTCCAAAGTTGATCTTTTTATTTTTCTGGGTTTATTCCCACCTGAGAGTGGCCCAGTGACAGCTGGTCCATACATTAGAGAAGAAAGCTCAGCAGTGGGTGCATGCTGGTGACCAGATGGGGTGGGACAGGAGAGGATGCTCTGCCAGCAAACTGCTCAGCATCCCAGCTCTCCTGCTTTGGCACAGCCCTGCCCTCCCCACGTCCTGCCAGAGCAGGGCATGGCACTGCTGGCAGCTGTGCAGGGGCTCCAGAGGCGAGCCCCGGGCTCCTGAGGTGACTGGTGCAGAGAGAGAGGCGTGAGGATTGCAGCAGGAGGGCTTCACAGAGACTGTCTATTTAAAAAATGTGTCAGGACTGATGAATACTCCAACAAACATGATTTGGATAGGGTCACTGTGAAGAGATGCAGTAACAGCGTGGAGAGACCCCAGTTTTGCTGGAACCAATGCTCTTTTCTCCCTGAAATGACACTTCTCCACAGACTTGTGTGTGGAGAGGGAGCCAGACAACTCATACCCATGGCATCCAGAGGCAGCTAATAATTCCCTCAGTGGTGGAGTGCAGCATGTTCCACTAACATGTACAGTAACTGGAAATGTACCCATCCAATTTTCTCCTCTCCCCCAGCCACAAAAGGAGACCACTCCAATTATTTTTCAGACAGAATTAAGGCTGATGTTTACCATTATCTCCCTGGTAACCTTCTCCTCATGACTACATTATGCAACATAATTGTAAAGCCGTCTCAGCTCACTGGGGTTGTTATTAAATGTACTCTGCTGCTTTTTTTTTTTTTTTCCCCAAGGTCAAGGTTAGTAATTAGGTGGCTGGTATGCTTGGGACAGAGGCTTGTTAGGTAGGAAAAAAATTAGAAGGAATTTAAAGGATGCATCAGGCATTCCCAAGTGATGAAATTTTGTCAGCAGAAGGTAGGCCAGTGAAGGAAGGGAATTAGGGGGTGTGAAGTGCTCCAGCACACAGGTCTGTGGATGAAACTCGGGCAGACTCAGGGCGTGAGACGTGTCGGATGAATTTCCACAGGGAATGCAGGGAAGCGAGCGCTGATATTGCAAGCTGAGGTGAGCGTGGCTCCTCTGAGCTGCAGCTTTAATTGGGGCTGCTGGAACAATAGTGAATCGAGCTGTTTGTTTTTCTTCTGGCTGGTTTTTCTCCAAAGGTCCACGGTGCTTGCACATGAAGTGTCAGCACCTTATTGTGCACGGCAGGAGGGCTGGAACGAGATGGTCCTTCGAGGTCCCTTCCAAGCCAAACCACTCCATGATTCCATGATTCCACTGTCCCCAGGCCAGGGATTCTTAGGGATTTGCCTTTGCAATGGGATGGGGCAGCCACTCAGCAGGAGTTCTCGCTGTTTCCCTGGCCCATGTGAACTAGGTGACACCAGACTCCCTCATTAAATCCACCTCCTAATACATTTAATTAGGAAATATTGCTTCACTGCATGTTCAACCCTGGAAGGAATGAAGAGCAGAAATAACAACGTTCTATGGGGGAATGAGAAGACTGATGGGTTCCTGGAATGATGTCAGATTTCCTGGCAGTATTGCTGGCTAGTGCCAAGGTTATTGAATCTACCTGGTGGTAACATGAAGGAGTGTGTTGACTAGAGCCTCTAATCTGGAAAAACCCCTTTAGTTGGGAAACAGCTTGGAAAGGAGCACAAGATGAAGACCTGCAAGTCTGTAAGTGTCTCTGTGTTCACAAATGCATACTTATATACATACTACCTAGAAATGCGTAAAAAAACCCCATGAATATATAAATATCTGTACATATCTGTGTCTGTATATATTCACAGGAGAGCCTGAGCTACAGTCTCTGGTTGTCTATGACTCCCTCTTAAATTTTCCCTGAGGGAATTGCATTCCCAAGTCACCATTTATTTTCTAAACTGGAAGTATTTGTGGGTCTCTCCCTTGACATGAATGGATTGGGATGAGATGTTTAATGCCAAAGTCAAAACTCTCCCCAGAGCCCTACTGGGGTCATTCCCATGCATCAGCATAGGAGAGAGTATTTACCATGGAAAAAGAGGGAATTACTTGAAAGGACTGTACTGTAGAGCAGTAGCCTTATGAAAACCATGACAGAGTAATTGGATCTGGCTTGCGTGCAAGGCAGCAAGAGAAATCAATAAAAGAAGAGGGAGGAAATGGGGAGGGGGACCTTTCACGTTCTTGCAGTGAAATATCCCTTCATCTGACTGCCTGTAACTAACTTTTCATCATCCCTGATGTGATCTGTAGTTGAAGATTTCTCTGGGCTATAACCACAGCTGCTGGGCTGGGTGGTTTTATTTCTCTCAGCTTTGCTGCTTGTGGGAGAAAATAAGGCAAAGCAAAACTAAACAAAAACAAAACAAAACTTTGTAACTGCCCAGACCTCTCTGTGCACCAGGATCCTTATCTAACGTCTGGACCTCACGGTCCCAGGGCAAACCTCACCCTGAGTGTGGTTTTTATTGTTCTGGTTTGTTTTCTTCCAGTTCAAAGGAAGGGTTGAGCCCCAAAAAGAGAAGTGTGTCCTTGGTCAGAAGTCTGTAAGTTCACTTAGTCACACTTCACCAAAAGCCTCCAAAGTGTGTTCAAGTCAGTGCATGTGGTCATCACTCAGTGACAACTCCTTATCCTCTCCACCCACCTCTGTCCTCAGGGAGGTAGAAAATGTGCTAATTGAGAGAATGATGAGGAGGGTTTGATATGAAACAAAAAAACCCAGCAAAATCAAAACAGCACTTGTGGAGAGCACACAGACCAGAACAGAACTTTGTGGCTGAAACAAAATTTCCAGGTTCATGAAAAGGGAACAAATACTTTTTTTTTTCCCTTTGAATTATGTGGTGCCCTTGATGCATTAATATGACACTGTGGTGATATGAGTAACTATTGATACTCATTATACTCATTATATATTGACAGCATTGGTTCTCCAGTGGCACAGTCCCACCTCCTTGGCAGCAGCTGGTTTATACAGAATCATGGAATCACAGGATGGTTTGGCTTGGAAGGGGCCTTAGAGATCCCTCAGTTCCAGCCTCCAAATTCCTCCTCAAATATTCTGTGTTCTTTAAGAGAGACCAAGGATCTTCTGTGGTATCAAATTTGGGTTGAAAAAAGCCAAACCAACCCAAAATTTCCATTACTTCAGAGCATCATCTCAGGGGCTGGTAGGCCAAGGTTTCAGTCCAGTGTGTGGTGGGAAAGAGGAGGATTCTTGCTAATGGGTGGATTGGAGTGGAGCAGTGATTCTATCACCAAATGGAGGCTCAGCAGAAGAAGACAGCCCAAATTACAGAAATCCTGATTCCTTTGTGCCACCTCTCATGTTAATTGTTCACCTTTAGTCACAGTCCTGACTTTTCCCTCTCACAGAAAGCATTAACTGAAAATCTAGGCCACAGTCACCGAGATTTAATTCTTCCATCTATGCAGAGACTTCAATCTTCATAAACTGCATTTTTAGGCAACCAGCATTACTGGCTATTGAGGGCAGCAAAGTTAATCTTACTGAACACAGACCTCTCTAGATGACGGTGACCTGAAATAGCTCAATAGTATCCATAAGCTATAGGGGGGATAAAGCTGGGATATACCAAGGGAATAAAGGTAGGAACAACCTGAGGCTGAGTGGTGATGATGATATTTTGGCCTTCCAAAACCAAGCTGAAAATACTCCCTGAGTGCAAGAGAGGATGTTTCTTTGGAAACAGACACATTGAGCTATTTCTTTAGATTACACCACTCACAGAAATGACGCAGCTTTGCATTGAATTCTTATTGAGAAATATCCAGAAAAGTCCAGCTGACTTATTCATGGCACATTATTCCAAGCCCCAAATGCTAAATGTAGTCTCTTACAGCAGATTTGACCCCAGCCATGCTCCAATAATTAGTCTATAGCGTGATCTTTATTAATAAAAGTTAATTGAAACCAAAAACTCATCCCTCAGGATTTCCAATCAATGAACACACACGCACACACAAAAAGCCACACTAAAGAGCACTGGAAAATCCAGCTTCACAGAGAAAGAAACAATGGAAAGAAAAGCCCTCACTAAAAATAGTGCTGGTCTTTTTGTGCCTGGGCAGGAAATGTCGGCACCACCAATTCCAGCGCTGAATAACGCTTTGTCTTTGGGAACGTTATTCAGCAGGAGGCAAAAGTAAATCAACAGCCAATTCTGCTGAGGAAAGTAAACATTTGCAGATGGGAAAATTGAGGCAAAGTGGTATTAAGGGACTTGCTCAAGGTGAAGACAAAGAAGTTCTTCTTGGTTACTGGTCATCTGTTCTGCTGGGACAGAAAATCCTCAGCTGGAAAGGCCAAATTTCACTGTCCAGAGTAAGAGTTTATTATGTGTAAACAAAATAAATGAAAATGGAATTGTTCCAAAAAGGTGTATGGCTTTGTTCCTCAGAGGTGTTTGAAGATGCAGCTCTTGGTCAGCATTCTGAGGACCTTCTTGATGAGCTTTTAGCTGCAAATCCAGGGGTTTTTTTCCACTTATCTTTGCTCATGACTTTGCCTGGCATCTCTCCTTCACAGGACTGAGAGAAAACAAGAAATAATCTCACAGTTTTAATTAAAATTACTTTAGATGAGGAGACAGATGGTACTTGCAGGCCCATGGAGTGATCCCAGCGCTATCACAAGTTCTGTGCTTAAAGATCTGACTTCATCTGGGAAAGTTTGTTCTTGATCTGACTGAAAAAGTGAAGCACATACAAATTGTCCTCTTCAGCTTCGATTATTCCACTGGTTTTATGCAGAAAAGCTTTCTGCAGGTGAAGGGACTGATCTGGCAATGCAGGAATGTTCCTGGTCTGTGCATCAGTGCTTGTGCTCAACTATGAATATGAGAAATATCTCATTATGTGCCAGACCTGAGGTGGTCTGAGCAAAGCAAGGAATTGCAAAATCTTAAAAATTGTTTTTTCCCAATAACCGTTGGCCACTGTGTATTCTAAGTCCTCATTTTGATGTTGTTTTTCTAAGGAATTAAGTAATTCCTTATGTGCTAATGTTGATACTTTTGTCCCTCACCAAAACTTTTGAACTCTTTTAGATGCACAAAGGCACAGAGGTCTTAAATATATTAATTTCCTGTGAATTTTGGGAAAATAAATAGAAGAGAGGCAGCAGGCCAGCATGTCTGCAATGTGTGCACAACTCCTGAGATCAGAACATTTACTGGCATGGAATTGTTCACATTAATCCATCAGGAGTTTATCAGAATATGAGTACCCCAATCATCAGGGAAATTTTGCCTTTTATATTTTAAGAGGTTATATTTTTTTAAACCTTGAGACACTGGAGAAACCAAGCTCATAGAAATGTCTTGGGTATTTTTAAACATCTTTGATGTCCTTCTGAATGTTTTTGAGCCATCTTTAATTAAATTTCTGATTCTTTTTTTTAACCAAGTGAAGTTCCTGGCAGATTCTTTTTTCCCATGGAATCTTGCAATAGTTTAGTTATTCAGTCTTCTGGCAAGATTTACATTTATTTTACTTTGCTGATCACAGGGTAAACATGCCAGAAATTAAATAGTCATCATATAATTCAGTCCTGTCTGTGAAAACCTAACAAAAGAGCCTTTTCCTTCAACAGAAATGAGAGTGACTGTCCTGCTGTAATAGCTGAAAATACATTGGAGATAATGTGTTTAAAGAATAAGAAAGATGTGTTCTAATGACCAATGATAGTTCTAAAGTATTTCAAGAGCTTGGTTCAAAGCCCCTTGAAAGGAATAACAGTCCTTCTGCTGACATTACTAATCTTTGGATCGGGCTCATTAATGTATTGCAGATATTATATCCCCAGCTGCCAAAAAGCTGAAAAAAAAGGAGAATGTAGTCATAAAAATAGACATCAAATACATTTCTCTTTTGGGAATTAATATAGAAGCGAAATATTGCTGCTACTACTACTCCCTGGGACTTTATTACAGATATTTCTTTACTGTTTTTAAAGGAATTAACAGGGCAAGCTGTTCGTCCCGTCCAGAACTCTGCCTCCAGCAAGGGCCAGCGTCAAATGCCACAGAGCCTGGCAAAGGCTCGGATTGCTGCAATAGTTTTCACTCCGGCGCTGTAAATCAGTCCTTTCCGGGATGTGCTGTGCTGATGGAGAGGAGGAAGGGTGGGAGGGAAAATAGACATGTTCAGGCAAGACTTTCCCCGTCTTTGGCATCTCTTGGATTAATTACGGATCGATACTTGGTACTCGCCGGCTTTTACAGCTCATTAGCATCACGCCGTGCCAGGGCGTAAATTTGTTACAGGGCTTGCCAAGAATCCGGGGGTGTCTGGAAGCAAATGTTCACTCGGGGCTATAAATGAGGCACAACTGAGCTGACCGGTTTGAACTCTGGGCGGACAAATAATGCTCGGGATCTTTACCTGTGGCTCTCCGAGTGCCGCACAAACCCATGGGTGCGTGTGGGCATGTGCATGTTGGTGTCAGAGAGGGAGAGGGCGAGGAGAGGGATGGTGAGTGCCGCTCTCTGTGCGGCTGAGAAGGCGGCACAATCCGGAACCAGGCGCTTATTCTTTTCCAGCTCTTGGGATCATTCTCAGGTCGCCCACCTGCCTGCGCACACAGACAGCGTTAGTAGGGGAATAATAATAATAACGTGAGAACGCCTCGGCAGCCCCCAGCCCTGGCTCTGGGGAGCCCCGCTCTGTCTCTTTAAGGAACCCAGCGAGTCGTGATGCTGCTGTTTGTATTGCCGAATCCCCAGGAGTGCAGTTAAGAAACGGGCAGCTGTCTCTTTAAGTGTGATTTCCTTCTATTGTATTTGAATCGTGATCAGGAAAAAGGAAATGAAACCAGAGAGCCGGGGCTGAGCCACGGAGTAATAATAATCCCGGGGATGCGGCTGCCGCCGCTCTCGGCGCTGCCGCCCGGGCGCGGAGCGAGTGCGGAGCTGCCCGCGCGGAGCCGCTGAGCGCCGGGCGCGGAGGAGCCGCGGTGGCGGCCGCGGCCGCCGCCCCCCGCCCGCCGCGGGAGCGGCCCCGCCGTGCGGGGCGCGGGGGGAGCGCGGCGGGGATGGGAGGTCAGCGGGGCCGGGGGGGGCCGTGCGGGGCCGGGGGGGGCCGTGCGGGGCCGGAGCGCAGCCCCAGCCCCTGTGTGTGTCTCTGTGTCTCGGTGCTGCAGGAGGAAATCCTGTGAATGTCATCGCGGGGCGGCGGGGCAGCGCGGCTGGCGACAAGGCTCCGCGAGCAGACAGCCTCTGCGGGGGCGGCGGGGGCAGAGCCCACCACCGGCACGCCACAAAGGAACCGGCCCTGCCAATGTCATCGGCCATCGAGAGGAAAAGCCTCGATCCTTCCGAGTAAGTGCGCGCTTTTTCTGCCCGGTCCCCCGCTCGCCATCGTCCCCGGGAGCCTCCCGGTGCCGCCCGTCCTCCCCGACGGAGCCGCCGCCGGCATTGTGTGCCCGGCAGCCCCGGAGGGCTTCGGCGGCAGCCCCCGCAGCTCCGACCCCCCTTCCCCGGCCCGGACACCGGGCTGCCCCGGCCCCGCGGGGCTGGCGATGTGCGGGAGCTTGGGGAGAGCCCCCCGAGTTGTGGGAAGGAGCAGCCGGGAGCAGAGAGGCGCAATTCCCCCCGGGCAAGGCATCTCCCACTCGCTCATCCCAGCGCGGGGTGGTGGGGATGCTCGGCGAGAGAGACAGCATCCCGCTTCCCAAGCTTCCAGGTTTTCCATCCCAAGGGACCCTCTCGGCCCCGTCCCCGATCTGCCCGACTCGCCGCAGCCCATCACTGAAAGGTCAGGGCTGTTAGCTGCGGGTGCCCAACTTCCACGTTTTCGTAATGCAACTTCCAAAAGCTCGTAGAAAGCTTTGGTGGGGGCTGGGTGTTCTGCTAAGAGCATGTAGACAGACTTGATGGACGGGATGTAGGAGATGAGAATTTCCCTCCCTGGGCTTCCCACTCAGGGAAGGGACCGGCTTCCGTGTCCAGATCCAGGCTTTCTCCCGGGCTGTGCTCCCGCTGTCCCATCCCTGCTGCACACCCAGGGATGGTAACCCAGCACAGACCCAGGGCCACTTCAGCCCTGAACGTGCTAATTAACTGCACTTAGGCTTGTCAGCGATCGCGGTAAAAGAGAAGAAAAAAAGAAATAAATTATAAAATCTCCGTTTCCAGATAACGCTTAAAACATCTCTCTCAGTAAATTGAGTCATTCGTGGTTTGTTTCCTGTCAGATACTAAAAATGCCATCGCTTGGAGCCCGGAACGAGCACATGGGAACTGCTGCTTTTGGGGGTTAAATCACTTCATTCCATGATGTTTTACATGTTACATTTTCCTTTATGCTGGTTTTTTTTTTTATTTTTTTTTTAAGAAACGCTAATCCCAGCTCCTAATGATGTCCAGCTTTCATCTACAAAGTTTTTTTTTAATCTTTATTTATTTACCTGCCTTGTGTTCTGGTGGCTTAAGTGCTGGCTTAGGAATCGGTGGACATCAAAAGCCTAATGCGTTAACCAGGAATGCTGCTCTGCATAAACATCCGTTGGGCTGTTCCCGAGCTCAGGGCTCTCAGAGAAACCTGGCTTGGGATTCCCAAACACCCCTCAGATGAAACATTTTGGGGTACACCCCAAAGTTTCAAAAAATAGATAATGAAGGATAATGATGAGAGCTTCCTTCTACTGGAAGGCTCTCAGAAGTTGTCAGCATGGAGCCCACGTGTTAGGAAAGTGAGCATGCGGCCCAAAAGGAAAAATTTGGAAAAAGCAGGGCTAATCATGTGTTCCCCATGATTTTAATGAAAACTCACAGGATGGTGAGCTGGCAGGAGAGGCATAAGTTATGACATAGCTTGCAGGGCACAGCAGTTTAAACTTAGAAGGGAGAAACCAGAGCAGAATAGAACCAGATAATATCTCAGGGCTCAGCTTGCCTAAATAAAAACTGCAGGATCCCTTTCTCAGCCCAGAAGTTTTTGACCAGAGGTCGTTCCTCCCTGCTGAAGAAAGTAATTTTTGCCCAGAAAACTGCTGATCCAGTAAATAAGCAGGAGTAATACAATTTTTTTCCTGTTGCCTGCTGGAAACTGGGAGCAGGGCTTCTTCATCAGTGTAGGTCTCCTCTGCCCCCAGCAGCCCAGGGGAGGACAGACCAATGACAGTAGCAAATTGCTCGGGGACTCTGTGCTGGAGAACTAATCCAATAAAATGAAAAAATTTGGGGTCCACTCTACTAGCCACAGGTTTGAAATTAAGCAAGTGCTTAAGGGATAGATCCAGTAGATTTTTTTATTTACTTCTCTGGCGTTTAGGTGAATCCCAGAACATTACAAAACTGAGTTCAGGTACTGTTTTCTTTTAATTTTTTTCTCTTTTTTTTTTTTTTAAGTTGTGAAATTACCCCAAAAGACACAGAAATACTTAGAAGAAAATTCTCACTTCTTTTACCAGAATTATCCTAGCTCTCCAAGCTTTTTAGGAAAAGGAACAAAATAGGTGCATAAAGAGTCAGTGCTAATATCACAATAAAGATTTGTGCCTCCTTTCACTCTTGGATGTGTAAATCCCAGATAATTGAGGTATGTTGGCATAAACCCATCCCAGGGGATTCATGTCCTTGGCTAAGAGAAAAAAGAAGTCCTGCAGCAACATGAGGTAAAATGCTGGCTTTATTAAAATCAGCAGCGAGACTTAAACCAGTTGGGCAACAGAATCAGCTGTTGTGTTTATCCATTTCGTGCTGTTCTGACAAGTGACACTGTCAAACTTAGTCTCCAAATTTCCATTTCCCAACAGAAAGTGTAAAATCCCTTGGGTGCCTTTCTTAGTCCTGCTGAAAACGAGCAATAACGAGGACACCACCCTCCCTGTCCTAACCTGTCTGAGCTTGGGACCCGTTTTGCTTGTCCCCCTTCTCGTGTGGACGCTCTCGGAGTGGGTTTCCCTCGTCCAAGGTTTGTCTCACCCCCTCAGGGAGCCGGTGGATGAGGTGCTGCAGATTCCCCCGTCGCTGCTGACATGTGGGGGTTGCCAGCAGAACATCGGGGACCGCTATTTCCTGAAGGCCATCGACCAGTACTGGCACGAGGACTGCCTCAGCTGCGACCTGTGCGGCTGCCGGCTCGGCGAGGTGGGCAGGCGTCTCTACTACAAGCTGGGCAGGAAGCTCTGCAGGAGGGACTATCTCAGGTAGGCATCCCACTCCTCACACCCTTCCTGCCTCCTTCCCGTTTTACTGAGTGCAGCTGGGATTGAGGAATTCCTTTGGAATGGATCTCAAAGCCTGGCAGAGTCTGCGAGCTCAGGTTTGCAGTATGGGCTCCTGTCCTAGAATCCCCGGAACATCTGGGCTGGAAAGGGACATTACAGCTCCTCTCCTTTCAGCCCCTGCCACAGGCAGAGACACCTTCCACTAGGACAGGCTGCTCCAATTCCCCTCCAAGCTGGCCTTCCAGGGATGGGGCGTCCACAGCTTCTCTGGGCACCCTGTGCCAGGGCCTCACCTCAGGGAAGAATTCCTTCCCAATACTCCAACTAAACACACCCTCTGGCACTTTAAAGCCATTCCCTCTTGTCCCATTCCTCCATCCCTTGTCCAAAGTCTGTCTCCAACTCTCCTGGAACCCCTTAAAGCACTGGAAGAGGCTCTAAGGTCTCCCCAGAGCCTTCTCCAGAGTGCACAGCCCCAACTCCCTCAGCCTGTCCTTGTATTTTTGGGATTCATATGCAGATACTTTTAGTATTGCTGGGATTCTTCAGTAAGTTATAGATAAAGCTAGAGATTACCTGTGTTGCTTAGATAAACAACACATAGTTGTTTATAGATCAATCTTTTAAAGTTTGGGGGGAAAAAAAGCATTTTTAATGGAAGTGAAAACAGTTCTACACATTGTGGACGAACCAGAATTATTTGATAATTGAAGAATACAGAAAGAACTCCCAGGACTAGGAGTTGTTGGCATCTGTCATTCTGCACAGACCTAATCCCACAGGTGAAGGGTCAGTGTGGCATTCTGGCAAGCAGAAATTGGGAAAAGGGGCTGAATTCCAGCAATCTCCCACTAAGCTGGCAATGAACTGGTTACCCTGAATGGTTTTAAGGAGTTTTCTGCTTCTCCCAGAATTGCCTTGGAGCTTAAAGGTGTTTAAACCCAGGTAAGAGATGAAAGATCATTTGGGGTTTTGGCATTCTTAAGCCCAGTGGTGAACAAGCAAGAATTTGCACATTTTGCAGAATCAGATCCTACAAATACACTTGTTATGGGTGTTTTCATCAATAACTCTCTGCCTGCCTGCTTTGCCCAAATTTGTAAGTAAAGGATTAATTGGAGACTAAGATATTTCACAAAAAATTGATAACAAAGGATCTTTACATTCTTGATTAAAATGTATTGATCTTTGCTGTGCTGGTTGTGTTCCATTTCTTCTAATGGATCCCTAATGTGTCAGGAGGTTTGTGGAACAGAATAATGATATTTGGTATTTTTCCAGCTTTTTTACTGAAGGCTAATTTACCTGCCAATAAAAATGAAACCAAAATCTCAGTGGACTTCCTAATTATGCTGTCCCTGGGCTTTGCTGATGGAATTTTGCTGAGCAGAAATTAAGGACTGAGTTCTGCTAATGGGACCACTTGTAAATCCAGCAGTGATCCAGTGTTAATTACACTTCCCAGATACTTTTCATCTTAAAATGGAAGCAACAGGAAATATGGCAATACAATTAATGCGTTTTCTTGCAGTGCAATCCAACATTTTTATTTATTTAATAATGCAATAGATATCTTCCCTCATTAATGAA